GTCACACACTTTTCATTTTTATACCTCTTTTCTTCCTCACACAGGGTCTCACGTAGCCCAAGCTGCTCTCAAACTCAATTTGTAGCTGAGAACAACCTTCATCTCCCGAGTCTCTCGCTTCTGCCCCCCAAATGCTGGAATTACAGGTGTGGGCTGTCACCAGCCAATCACATACTTCTGGAGGAATGTGAACAAATATGTGTGTTATTAACTTGCCATTCCCGATCGACGAAGCTCAGGGTCCTGTCCATTGCTGAATTCCCCACGATAGACAGTGAATCTATATTTGTTTAATGAAGGACGACTGGATTATGAGTTCTTACAGAGCAAAGTCCTTACCTTCATTAGGTTTGTTTCTTAGCACCTGACTCGGGGCTGGGAACAAGTTCTTTCGAAAATGGTTCTTGATTAAACTGCTTTAATTAATTAACAACCACAAGTGCTTCCTATTAACTACATTTCTCCAACAGTACTTCAAAGACACAAGCTGGCATACTTTTCACGGGGCGAAAGAAACCCGCTGAGAAACTGCTTTCTAAAAACCACAGAATCAAGCCAATTAGATTGAATTTCAAAGGTAATATTCCTCGTCGGTATGAAAAGTAACTTCTCATTTTTCAGAGAAGGAAGGACTTCACATGTGCTCCTACAAGCTTTGTTATTGTGTGAATAGTGATAAGTCTAGATTACTTAATTACATCTTAGGTAGGTCACCACAGTAGACAGTATTTCGTGTGTTTTTTCCAGCCCACCGGTTTGTCTAATCACTTGTATCCATCCTTCCAAGGTTACAATAGGGCAGGACCTATTCTGGATTAGTTTATATGAGAGAGGTTTTCACTAATCGTAAGTGTGTTGAATTTTCCTTCTGTTTATTTGAGACGGGATCGTCCTACTGCAATATTGCCCTGGGTAGCCCTGAACTTGAGATCCCCCTGTCTCTGCTCCCAAGTGCTGAGTTTATAGCATAAGCCACTCTGGCACAGTCACTCTTTAGTGAAGAGTGTGTCCCAAATACCATGGTCAGTGCTTTCTACGTATTTTTATTAAACTTCAATCCTAAAAATTCTCCTAATTTAACCTAGTTGTTATGCTCATCACATGGATAAAGATGTGAAGACTGGTACATAATTTGCCCAAGAAGACACAATTAACAGATTATCAGAGCTGATCTCAGCACTGACTTGTGGTGCTTTGAAAGAGAAATAAAATCAGTCAGGTGTGGTGGCGCACACCTTTGATCCTAGCACTTGGGAGGCAGAGGCAGGTCGAGTTCTGAGTTCGAGGCCAGCCTGGTCTACAAAGTGAGTTCCAGGACAGCCAGGTCTACACAGAGAAATCCTGTCTCAAAAAAACCAAGAGGCAGGGGGGATGAACCCCATAGTCTCAGCCATTTGGACACCTGATCCCAGGTAGTGATGCTGTTTGGGGAGGTTTAGGTGGCCCAGCCTTGCTGGAGGAAGTGTGTCCCTGGAGGCAGACTTTGGGAGTAGACGCTTCCAGTTTGCTTTCCCTGCTTGGTGCTTGCTGTGGAGGATGTGAGCTCTCAGCTTCCTGCATCTGCTGCCACGTCTGCACACTGCTATGCCTCCCCTGGTGATGGACTCTTGGACCTCTGGAACCACAATTGCAAATGAATTGTGGTTCCTTCTATAGGTTGCCTTGATCATCGTGTTTTATCGCAGCAACACAAAAGTAGCAAATTCACGGCAGCAAAGCCCAGGCCCTCGCTAGGACACCAGCGATTATTATTTTTCAAGTATAAATTTGACAACTAGAAGGGGATCATTGGGATTCCTGTATTTAATTCAATCATCAGCTATGTAGTGATCTTGAGGACTAATGTTTGACCTTCAAAGTGATGTGTGAGTGCTCATATATTGATGGCAAGAGACATGGGGGGGATCTCCTCTAATTACATTCTTGGAGTTTTCATCCATTCTTTTCTCTTCAGCTTCACAGTTAAAAGAACAGATGATTTAGTTGTATAATTAGGCTTCTTCCCACCTCAATGAAAGCTGATGGCATTATAGCTAAGTTATGACCCTCCTCCTGTTATCTGGAATGGCACATGGGGTCCTTTAGCTATTATTTGTCCTAGTCACAGACATATATAAACCCAGCTATGCAACGGAATCTTCCAGGTCCAGATATATGATCTCAACTTTAATAATACATAACGCTCCTCGGAGCTGTAAATAGAATTGGACGAAGCATTTATTTCCCAATCTGTTGAGGTTGTAAATATGGGCATCCTTTCCTGATGCTAGCGTCGTTTCAACAGCCCCCTTTGGCCTGCTCACCGCCAGCACTGGCAGCTAGTTCACAGGATACCAGATCTTGAGGTTCTGTGACTCAAGGGTGCCAACCAGGGGCAGTGTTTCCATAGCATACATGAGACCCTGGCTTCGATTTCTACCTCCCAACATGGTAAACCATGGGGGCTATGATTTGATTCCAGGCTCAACAAGATTAAATCACAGCTCCGACTTCATCAAGCATTTGTAGTCTAGTCCATGAAAGCAAAATGGCCAGAGTTAGCATAACGAGTTTATTTATTTGAATCAGAAAGAATTTAAAGAAGAGGAGCCAAATATAGTAAAAAAAATAAGATGGGGAAAAGCAGTTAGTTAAAAAGTTGAGAGAACAAAGTATGTTTTGCTTGGATACACAGCAAAAGAAGCCTGCCAAGGATGGTCGGCAAAGGTGTAAGCCCCATGAAATGTCTCCAGTGTCCAACCTTCACTGGAAACATGCAAGGAATTTCCTAGCCTGGTCAGGATGGGATTGTGGGAAAGGTTTGCTTCAGGACTCCCTCGGCTTTCATGGCAAGAAAACAGTGATGACTGCAGATAGCTGTGGTCCTCGAAGCTGTCCTCAGTAGCGGAACATACAGCCACTGTCCTGAATACCGACGTTGACCGGCACCATGCAATAAATATTACAAGGCCACAATGGCACAAGGAGACCCATCAACTCTGAACATAACAGAAACAGTTCACAGCAAATATGTAGTCATGCTCAACAAGGCAAGCTTCCCAGCAGAAGGGGAAGGGGAGATGCGCATACTTGAGTCCAGTCTCAAGAAAGGAGACCGGAAAGAGGTCACGAACCCCCCAGCAGCCCTGATGGGTCAGCACTTCTGAGAGTTCCCCATCTTTAAGTTCTAGGCACACGAACGTTTCGAGACCACAGCTGCACTGTTCTATGCTCCCCTTCAGCCCCTCAGTTATCTAGTGAGCCTCGGGTCCAATATGGGTCTGCTATGATATCTGGCCTGGGGCTGCGCTGTTCCTCATCTGTGAAGTTGAAGCGCCCTAGTCAGTGTTCCGGTCCACTTCTGCTTTCAATCATAAGAGAGGCACTCAGCGAAGAGAAACAAAAGTGAAAGCTCCAGGAAACACACTAGTAACCTAAAGTACCAAATTCTGTCACTGAGAGACCTGGCAGAGTTCCAGGCATTTATCCTTTCAGCAGCCGTGAACTCGGGACACTTTTCACGCCCCATGAATGTGAATTAACACGGTAAAACATGAATCCGCCCAGTGCTCTGCAATTGTCTTCTTAACCCTCCCTGGCACTCAACAACCATTTATTTAAATTTTCTACCTCAATAAATCCAGCTGAGATTGCATGCCTCACCCGCCCCCCAAGAAAAACCAACAACGAAGTCAGCAACGCCACAAATCACACCTAAGCTGCGCGTCCCACTTTAGGAAAAGAGCGAAAAGGGAGCAGAAAGAAAATCCGAACTGGTCCGATTCTGTCTGCCCTCACCACGCGGTGGTCGCCAGGAGCAGCATCGGAGCGAACTGTTTTACAAACTTAGGAAAAGCTGTGGTCTTTCAATTCTATCAATTGAATGGAACCCTGGGCCGCTGGAGCTAGGCGAGGGCAGGCAGTCGGGTACCCAGCAGAAGGATGGAGCACGCGGCCCGCACATCCCGGATCAACGGATCCTGGCGGGAGCATGCTCTGAGCACCTCGGCCTCCCGCTCCCGAGGACCGAGAGACGGGCGCGCACGCGCGCACACGCACCACGGCCTTCGCCCGGAGTTGTGTCTCGTCTCCCTTTTGTTTTTCTCCCTTCCCGGTCATGAGACCCGGAAGTTTTTTTTTTTTTTTTTTTTTTCAGTCCTGTCTCTCTCCCCTTTCCACCCCCCTCCCCAATCTATCACATGGCAGAGCTAGAATAAAAACAGAAAAATGGCGACGGTCACGTTGTGGCGAGCCTTGCTGCGTCATTAGATAATCCTCATGCAAATAGCGGGAAGAACAAAGGAAGGGGGGCCCGGGACCCCCGAGGGCGCAGGTGGGTGCGGGGCGCGCGCGGCCGCGGGG